TTAAAATTGCAATACCAGGGGGGAAGGTGGTACTGGTTAATCCCATGAGCGTGGCATTGTGCAATCCCAAGTATTGACAAATACTTCGTATCAAACATATCAAATTGAGTCATTCCTTGTACCAATCCCAATCCCAACCTCTCATTCCCACGTACCAAACAGGGCCTAAATAAAAGGGAAAACAAATCCCAAAGACTCTTTCTCTACTAAAGTCTGCAAATGAACCAGACAAGAGTCCATAATAAAAGATCTTGATAGGCCCCTCTCTTGCCAAAGCATCAGCGACTTGATTTGCGGGCCCATTAGTTGAGATTCCAGATTTGGTGAGTGTACGGCCTACTAATGAGATCTGGCCCAAAAGAGTAACCTCCTTTTTCCGCCAGGTTGAAAAAGGCGACTAATATCTCCAGATTCAGAGATTAATCGAATATTCATGATGAAAATACATGCCATTTCAAGAGAACAAAACTAACTTGCTGATGCTTTAGCCAAAGAGAAATTGTCTGGAACTTTTTTATTGGATGCTTGTCTGTCACATTTGAGGACGCTGGTTTGTAAAGAGTCTTTGGAATATGATTCTTCATGATTTAGTCTTGTCTTATTTGGACAGTATCCCTCTTTTGTAGCCAAAAAAAAAAAAAACAGTAACTAATGAATAAATGGGTGGTAGATATAATAATGCAACAATGAAACCAGAACTTACGATCCAATCAAGTTCGTTGAAACTTTTTTTTTTTTTTAATTCGGGGACAATGAATTTCCATGTGTTTATAAAAATTTTAATTTTCATGTTTATCTTAATTATTGGTTTAATTTATGCATTGCAAAAAAAAAGTATTAGAATGGTTTTAATTCTTGAATATTTAGACAATAAAAAACATTGGAAATAAAGTTAAAAATTATAATATTCTAATTCAGGTATCTAAGAGGTCAAAATCCTATGAGAGAAAGTAACACATGACTTGATATTTTGTAAATAAAGTTAAATAAACAAAAATACCCTCATCAAAAAATTTATTAACAAGTTGTGAACTGATAACAGCAAGTGTTGAACAACTAATGAGAAGTTTGATAGATTTTTTTTAAAAAAAATCTAAATACTAATAGCATTTTAGTTATTTAATTAAATTTTCAAAATATCAAATCATGCACTATCTCTTCCCCTAAGATTTTAACTTCTTAGATGCCTAAATTGAAATATTACAATTTTTAACTTTTTATATCATTTTCCATACTCTCTTACAACGTATATACAATTAATATTTTTTCACATAGTGTTGGACTTATATATAAAATAACAATTTGTATTTGTCTAATTTTTTTTTCCATTTTTACTCCTAATTAAACACACATCCTCTTATTTTCTTTTTCTCACTTTATTCCCCCTCATGTAATGCCTCACGATAAAATATAAACATCAAATTTTTGAAAGGGTTTGGTTTCTTCTATATAAGCTGCAATGTGTTTTTTCTTTCATTTTTAAGCCTAATTAATCTTTCATATTTTTTAACTTATTCTCTCTCATCTCTGTTTCCTCTTATTTCTCCTCCTACTTATCCTCTCTATAAATAAGAGTGTTTTTTATTAAAAAAAAAAGTTGTATTCTTTTTACATATTTATTGTATTTAACTAATTTTAACCAACTTTTTGAATTGGGAGTATTTTCTTATTAGTTCTTTTTCATATATTTTCCCATTGGTTCTCTCTCACACCCATCATTTTCATCAATAAGAATATATTAGGAGAACATTATATCTTTTACATTCTGATTTACATGATTTGATTAGTTATTACTAGTAGGATAAGAGAGAGCACTCTCTTAAACTCTCTTTCAAATGTGAGGGTTATGAGTTCAACACTTTATATACTCCTCTGGTGTCTATATAATTAGCAGTGGTAGCAGTGCTACCACTACTGATGGTGATATGATGATTTTGATTTTTGACATGGGTAAGAAATTATACTAATCCCTTAACATTTATCTATAATTTTAGAGATTTAATTGGCATTAACTATTTTTTCACAGGGGATTTATTTGTACCATGACCTTAAAATTCTCGAAATAGGTTCAAGTTTAAGATTGAGATTTCAAGAAATAAACCTAATGCATGCAAATGTAATAATCATCAACAACAAAGAAATACTAATTTCCCCTAAGAGATTCTATATCCATGGATCGATATGAGTCAGCATGCACTAACTAGAACTATCATTGTTAAAAGGACTACTTTAAAAAAAAGTATAAATATGAGAGACAAAGTAGATTGAGGTTTTATATTAAGGACCAAAATAAAAGTCAAACAAAGTTTTATATTAAGGACCGGAGGTAGTAATATTTTTTAAAAAAAAAATACTATCCAACAATGAAGGAAAATAATACCCCTCCAATTCTAAATATAAGTCTCATTTTATAATGTAAATTATATAATAAAATAAATCTTATATTTAAAATTGGAAGAATATAAGATATTAGTATTACCAAGAAAAGCCAAAAGTATGCATTTAGCCTTTTGATTTTATTGAAAATTTTAATTTAATCTTTTAACTTTGAAAAGTATGTTTAACTCTAAAATCATTAGTCCTAAATGATACTCCCATCATATTTGATTATGATTGATAAAGTATCAATAGAAATAATTTAGAAAAAATAATAAATATGAATAATAAATCTTATATTTAGGAGTAAGATGAACTCAATAAGTAGGTCTACGTCAAGGACCGAAGAAGGAATAATTTTTTTGACAATTATAGTTATTTCGTAGATTAAACTTAATATATTAAGAATGTTTATCATCATTTAACGATGAAAGAAAAAATAGCAAGAGCGCAGCATAACTTGGAGGGAGTATTTTATTTTTGACAGATTTTCTAGCAAAGAGACGAAAAATCAGCAAAATACTAACAGTTTAAATTGTTGAGTACACTAAAAAATTATTTTAATATAATAAGTATTATTGAAAAAATATTTGAGCATACTAGATATTTTTTTAAAGAAAAATATTCAGCCTCAATATTTGCATCCAAGAACAGTATAGTTTTGGACGAAAAAGCCAAAGGACTATGAAGATAGAAGAGAGCAGGGCATTTATACACACGTTTTCCTTCATGTCTTTTACTCCCTCTACTAAATGGGAAGTGGCCAGGTGGTGATGTGGACTACGAGGGCTGTGGCCCACAAGTTTTGATTTTTTATTTTTTAAATTATGTATGCGTTGTACATATTTTGTCCCTTTATAACTTCAACGAATTTTGTTAAAATGATCTTCAGAATTATTGACATAAAAAAACGAAAGCTTGTGTGTTCGATATTATTTGTAATATCGGTATCACATCGTTAGTATATATCTCTTTAAATAAAATAATTACGTGTATCTATATTAAATATATATTTTTTGAAATTTTGTCTTCACTTATTCTTATATCTTAGGCTTCTTAGCTTTGAAGCACTTGAAGATGAAAATAGGATTGGTCAATAATACTACTTTATTTTTATTTATAAGTTACTTGTTGAGGAAAAAAATTGTTCCTAAATATGAGTAACTTGTAGGACAATTAATGAGTTTTTATTTATTTTAATCCTATTAATTTAATAAATACAAAGGAGAATAAAATATATAGGTGAAGAAAATATAATACATATTTTTAATACTATCTCCTTAATAAGAATAAATATAAAAAAGTTATCTGTTTAATATATTTTTAATGTTCAGGTTTTGATTACGAATAACTTATAAATAAGGTTAAGAAAAATCATAAAAAAAGACTACCAAAATTAAAAAATTTACATACAATGACTCTTTATAAAAATTATTGTTAAAACTTATACTATTATTTTCAAAACTTTATTAATATTGTAAGGGTTTCTATTTATAATTTTTTTTATTTTAATGGTCTTTTTTATGATTTTTTCTAACATTAGACTAAGAAATGGCAACTCAAAAGCTCAATGATTCTTGGCTTTTTTTTTTTTTCCATACAAAAAAGGACAGCGCCCAATCTACAACCATATCCTTTTGACCTAGCAACTCCTATCCATTTTCATTTGAATGCCCATAACCCAAATGCTATCATTTTTCTAAGGATATGTATTTTTCTATTGGAGATCATGTTGTTCGAGACACTGTTTGATAGTAAATGTAAGTACCTCTCTTAGCAGGAACTCGAACATTAATTTATTAATCTCCCATTCTGTTAAACCCAATTCTGGTATTGGTCAAAGACTATCATTTTATTTTTAGTAACTTTGGTGTAATATTTTAGATTTAGACAGGGTAATCCAAGTTACTTTTTTAATACATATTTAAAATTTTAATTCACTATTTCTATTTTTATCTTTATTGATTATAAATCTCTATATTAATTATCCTATTTCTATTTTTTTACATATCTTTTTTCACTTATTCTCCCTTTCACTCGCTCTTCTCATAAATATATATTCTAAAAAATTACATTTCTTATACATTTATCACATTTAACTAATTTTAATTGACTTTTTTTATCTATTAATTTGATTACTTACATCTTATATATCATATAGGATTGAAAGGAATATAATTTATGAGTTGTTGGTTTAAATTCTTTTGTTAATTTATTTTCAATCATCTATGGCTTTGGCCAGTTAATGATAGAGGATCTCCAGAGGATCTTCAACAGTGTAGGTTCTTGACAATGATTTTTTTCTTCTAAATTTTGAAAATGGCAGTTTGACCTTTTTATATTCTAAATATATATATTTCAAATAGAATTATATCAAATATCAATATTCCATCTACATATCAAACAAACTTTTGATTCTAATGTACTACTAAACGGGGCCTTCGCCTATAACAAGCACATCGCCAACTGGAGATTCATAAATTCCATTCAAAATTTTTGAGCAGCCTGTCTCAACAACAATTGACCAAAACATACATAATATAATAAACAGCCATTAAACAGACGACAATAGATTTGATTCAACATACTTGTAACACAAGAAAACACATAGGCCTTGTTCTTTCCACTTCTCTGTTTTTCTCTCTCTCTTTCTCACTCTATTCTGGCTTCACTGGCCTTAATGGTTTCATTCATCCCTTCAGGCTTCAACGGCAACATGGGATTACTGATATTACAGCAACTGTTCTGATGGGCTTTTCTTTTTCTCAGCCAGGAATGGTTTGAACATCATTAGCAGTCCAAGTACTTCTACTAGGTTCAGTACAAAAAATACCATATGGGAACCTGCAGTTAAATGTGCCAAAGTTAGTGAGCTTACAGTGCTATAAGTAATTATATGGAACGTAAGGGAAGGGCATTAACTTCGCCTATGTAGTGCAGCCAATCCCAAGCCTGGATGACAAATCTATGGAGATAAAAGGAAGGAGTTATGAGGGATAGAAGGATTAACATCTTGTGCCCCCAAAAAACTAAATGGGTTGGAGGAGTTTCTAAAGAATTTGGAGAGTATACATTTTGGTGCACAAGGAAAATGAGTACAAGAAATAGCGTTAGTATTATCGTTGATAGTTTGGAAGAAGAATGTGATAGAAGTTAAAAAGGTTTGAGGACAAAATAACATCTTTAAGATTGATTGTTAGAAATACTATCAATATATCAGCACTTATGCACCTTAGGTTGGGGTAGAAGCACATCATAAAGATAAGTTTTGAAAAGATGCGAAGGGGTTGGTTTAAAATATATCACTTGAAGAAAAGATTTTTATTAGTAGGGATCTTAATGGACATGTCAGTAAAGAAATAGGATAATATGCTGGGATTCATGGTGGTTTCAGTTTTAGGAAGCTTAATAATGGAGAACAATCTATTTTTGACTTTTTTCTAACATACAATCTCAAGATTGTCAATACTTGTTTTAAGAAGTGAGAGGAGCATTTAATTACTTACAAAAGTAGAGCCTCAAAATCATAGATTGATTTTTTTTAAGAATTTGGACAGAAAAATTTGTACTAATTGTAAAGTGATCCTTGGAGCGTGACTACCTAACATAGGGTACTTATTCTTGATATGCATTTTAAGAGTACCAAATAAAAGTATCATTAAATAGTTAATCCTAGAGTCAGGTGGTGACAATTAAAGGATGTGAAGCGAGAGTTTTTCAAAAGGACCCTTTTGGAAGAAGGAATCTAGAAGTTGCAGGGAAATGCTAACATCATATGGCAAGAGATGGCTACAAGGGTTCGTAAGCTTGCTAAAGCAATTTTGAAAGAATCCAAAAGTCATAGTTAGAGAGATAAGGAGATTTAGTGGAGAGATAAGATTGTACAGGAGAAAGTTAGAGAAAAAAGAGACTGTTTTAAGACCATACATTTATGTAATAATATAAAAAATTGGGAAAAGTACTATTTGGCTAAAAGAAAGACGAAGAGAGCAGTGAGCAAAGCACATTCTAAAGCGCATGAAGAGTTTTATAAGGATTTAGGAACAAAGGCGGAGAAAAATATTTACAATATTGCAAAACATAGGGAGAGAAAAAAGAAAGATTTAGACCAAGTAAGGTGTATAAAGGATGAAGAAGGTAAAGTTCTAGTTACTGATAAAAATTAAGGACAGATGAAAGGGTTACTTTTACGAGCTGTTTAATAAGGGAAGTGAATATATGACTCAGAACTTGGAGGACTTGCTAATTAGCGAAGAGGGTCGGAATTTGGCTTTTTACTACAGGATTTGCATCTGAGAGATTAAGACAGCTCTTAAGAAAATTGGTAATGATAAAGCATTGGACTTACAGTATTCTTATTAAAGTTTGGAAATGTTTAGGCAAGGAGGATATGTTGTGGTTAACTAAGCTTTTTAATGAAATTTTACGATCTAATGATTTGGACAAATGGAGGAAAATCACTTTAGTTCCTATTTGTAAAAATAAAGGAGATATTCAAAACTGTAGGAGGGATAAAACTGATGAGCTGTATGATGAAATTGTGGGAAAAAGTAATTGAAGAGATTGGAGACTTCTATTTTTGAGAACCGATTTGAATTTATGTCGGGAAGATCCTAAGCAGAAGCAATTTATTTACTAAAAAGGTTAATAAAAAGATATACAAGTAAAGAAAGGAATTTACCTTGACTTGAAAAAAAACTTATAATCAGGTGCCAAGGGAAATACCTTGGAAAGCTTTGGAAAAGAAAGGTGTGGGGGTTGCATATATTAAAGCCATACAAGATATGCATAAGAGGGTAACCACTAGTGTAAGAATGCCTTGTGAGATAAAGGACTTCCCCATTAAGAGTAGTCAACAACAGGGATCTTTCTTGAGCATTTACTTGTTTAATATTGTTCGAGACATTCTAACTGAGCTTATTCAAGACAAAATTTCTAAGTGCATGCTTTTCACGGATAACATAGTTCTCATGGCTGTATCAAGAAAAGAGATTATCTCTAGATTTAAGTTATGGAGTAAGATCTTGGAGTTGAAAGGTTTTTGCTTGAGGAGGAGCAAAACAGAATATATACATTGTAATTTTGGGGGAGGCAAGTCAATGGTGATTTGTAAGTGAAGATGGGAGAGAAAATCATTCCTCAAGTCCCAAAGTTCAAATATCTAGGATCTATTATATATGAGGATGGTGAAATTGATAGAGATGTTTCTCATGAAATACAAGCTGGGTAGTTAAAGTAGAGGAAGGCTATCAGAGTTATTTGTAATAAGAAGGTACTTGAGAAGCTTCAGGAAAAATTTTATTGGATTGTTATAAAACCAATTATATTGTATGATAGTGAATGCTAGGCGATAAAAGAAAAACAAGAGCATAAAGTTGGGATAACGTAAATGAGTATGTTGAGATGGATATGTAGTTATACAAGAAAAGATAAGGTTTAAAATGAAAATATCAGAGCAAGACTAGATATAATGCCTATCGAAGAGAAAATGGTTGAATATCACTTGAAGTGGTTTGAGCATGTGCAATGCAGCGCAGGCCATTAGAGGCGTAGGCAATAAGAGTAGATCAAACAGTTTGAAATCCTATAAAAAAGGTAAAGAAAGACTAAGGAGAATGCTCAATCAAGTCATTAAACGTAACCTCCTAGTCAACAACATATCTAAAAACTTGGTGGTTGATAAAGTATAGTGGCGTCCTGCTATTCATGTAACCGATCCCACCTAGTGGGATAAGGCTTGTTATTGTTGTATAAGGGATGGACATCCTTTATTTTATTTTTTTTAGTCCTTTAACTTCTCAAATGCTAACATCCTAAGTTTATTTTCAAAATATCACATTGTTAGGGTTAGAGAACTGAAAAATATACTTTACAAAATTAAGCAACTAAACTAAAATCTTATATAAAGTTAGAAGACCAAAACTACATTTTTAACTTTTTTTTTTAATAAAATACAACAATAATGGCATGATCCATATAGAGGAGCAAACTAAATATTAAGCATATCAGCCAACAATAAATTACTGCAGCCAAAGGAAGAAGTGTGCAGTGTTTGGAACTTCACATCTGTTTTGTGAGCATAAGAATTGGCATATCTGAATGTGTGCTCATAGATGACCATCTCTTATAATTTAAGGCATCATGACATTTTTTGAATTTGGAGTTGACCTATTTTCGATAAATAAGCATAATCATATGAAAGCGTAGCCCGTAGCCCGATTAGAGAGCCTTGTCAACAAAGACAGACCAATATTGTAACTCCTAGGCTTCACATGTTTAACATATATTAGTGATCTCCCAAAATTTGACAATATTAGTTCTAATGCCCCAAGAAAATATACGTATGTATGTGTTGCTTGTAAGCTCGTCAATGTTCTTTGCCACCCTTCCGAATAGTACATGAAAAAGAATCTAGAACACACAAATAAGCTGGGCTTTGTACCTGGAAGGAAAGAAGCATCTAACCGCTTTTGCGACCAAGTTAATCTGCATTAGACCAAGATCATAATTAGTGAATAGCAGGTTAATTTCAAAATATTATATACGTGTGAAAAAAAAAAAAAGTTACTCAATGTGTTCATGTGAGATAAGTATGTTACATATTAAAAAGAAAACCAATAATGGAATCTCACTCGAATAATTTTTATCTGGGAAAACATATTTTAATTAGCTAAGTCTTGTTGAAAAAATAAGTACATCAGCTTCAGAAATATATGAAAACTAAATCTAGACCTGTGGAGTTAAAATGATCTTCACAGTCTCAGATGACAATGAAAACATCTAAGCGATCCACGCTTTACAATTTCTTTTCCCTTTGCTTAATAGAAAAGGGGACTTGGTAAATGCCAACGGACAAAGGATCACAAATCACAGATTGGTATTGATCCAGAGTGAACCTTTGTTGACAAATTTTCACTAAATTTGATGAGTCGTATAAGAAACTAAACAGGTAAATTGAAAGTAATCTTACACAGCGCCACCTCCAGCAGGGCCAATTGCTTTGAAAATTGACATACCAGTCATAGCAATACCATTAGCTGCTCCCCTTTGGTGCTGTTCCTGTTTTTCATATGAAGCATGACATGTTAGCCCAACTCAGACCTGAAAATCCCACAACTAGAAAAAATAATAATAACAAACAATGAACTGAACTAAGAATTTTTACCACTGCTCTGTTTTGCAGAAGGAATAAACCAGTAATAATAGTTACCTGGGAAAGAAAACTTACAATCAGGCAAGCTCATGTGTATGTAGGTTTATGTCAAGGAGGTAGTGTTCTGTTTTTGGCATGATCAAAATTTATGGGGTTAATTGCTCCGTTAGCCCCACTGAATTCCTTTTTGTCAAACTTAGTCCTCAATTTTAGTTAGACCAGTCTTCCATCTTTAAAATAATTGTTTTCCTGCATTACAGTGGGCTTTAAGTATTGACATGCCTAATTAGTCTTTGACATGAGTTTCTGATGCAGTAAAATATATGTTGTGTTGTTTACATTTTCCAATGGTGTGTTTGGTTCAACAGAGGAGAGTGAAGAGATTTTAAAGGCAATTTAGGAATTTGCTATTATTACAAGGAGCGCAGAGTCTAAAAATGTTACAATTAAAAACCTCCCTCCAAAAAGCCCCACTTTTGGAGGGGAGTGGACCTCCCCTTTCCATTGAAAATGGTCAAACCAAACACTCCTCTCCTCTCCATTGAAAAATGCTAGTCACAGGAAATTTTTTGAGCCAAACGAATATAACCCCTCCCCTCTAAAAATCCCGAATCAAACACAGTGCAAGAAGCAATTTTACAGACAGAAAATACCTATAAAAATGATTCTATGCTGGCCAATGGCCATTTTACTTCACCTTAATTCCTCAAAAATATCATCGTAGATCAAAAAACAATTGCACTTACAGAGAGACAAAACTTAAGGACAGAAGCAATAGTTATCAACAGGCGCAGTGGGAAACCAGATAACAATGCTATGAAAGGATAACTTTGCAAGAGAGGTATGGATGTAGCCTGCACATGGTACCCAAAAAACAACAGTACAACTTAAAAAAAAAAACCAAGAATGTAAATACTGAATCTGTCGCATGAAAGAGAAAGCTAACCCCTGAAATGTGATTAAGTCTTACAGGTCCACAAACTTTCTGTACGCACGGGTAAACAAAGATTTGGTAGAGCAAAAGAGTAAAACCTAACCAGTTAAATGAAGTTCAGTACTAACCAACATAATCCTCAAGATAAATATATCAATACAATGGAAACAAGTAAGCACTATATTTTTGTAATGCATACTAAGTCCACAGATTATGTTTCTGTTCAAGAATTTGAAAGCGAACAACAAAGAAGCTTCACCAAAGTGTTAAAAAAGAAAAAAAGTTAAGGTTGTTTTCTGAATGCCTCTTGAGGAACCTTTCTAAGCTACACAATTAAATTAAAATAACTGAAATTTACTCAATAAGATTGGCAGATATAATAAGTCTGATGGGAATTTTGTATATATGACCATGTAAATGCAGTTAAGCATAAAGTATTTGGGGCAACAAAGTTATGAAGAAGTCACTATTTACAATGTTAATATTATCTAGAAATTCATAGCCATCAAGGATATACCTGATATTGAAAGAACATTGCCAACATCATCAGTTGAATAGTTCAAACCCCCCAGCTTTAGAGGACTGACAGCCCATAAAGAGAAAACCTGCAAAAGTAAATTAGTGCAAACCTATAGCCTGTAAGATGGAAGACAGAGAGCTCATTTTGCTCCACTAAAGATGGTGTCACTATCATTTTGATACTCCATGGACTTTTTGTATCACTTTAGTACTTGAAAAGATTTCTTTCGGCTGTATAGAATATCATGTACTCCTCCGGTTCTAAATATAAGATCTCTTTTGTAGTGTAATTTACACTACAAAAAGGGTCTTATATTTAGGACTGGAGGAGTATAACACAATTGAATACCTGTGGAAGAATTAAATAGGTAGAAAACATCATTTACAGGATCAACTTGATAATTAATCACATAATTTTCTGAAGAATCAAATTTTAGAAATTGTTTTTCCTCTGATAAATGTCAGTTTTTTACCACCAATCAGCCATATGTCAAATCAAAATAAATAAATACAAGTATGGATAACATGATAGAAATCAAGAAAGCCCAAACAACACACATAGCATATGAAATGAATAAAGTTATTTATACCATTATAATGTAAGAAGCATACCTCTGTATAAGCTATATCATGCAGTGAGAAAACGCAATAAATTATAATGGATGACATCAACGGCCAATTCAGGAGGAGGTTTTCATCTTTCTGAACTCTCTTTCCTGTGGTTTCAGTTTCTAAAGCTTCTGCATCCTCATCGGACTCATCAGTAACCTTGTGGTTGTGCAATGTTTCCTGAAGATTTTGAAAACAAAAATGGTAATACTAAAATGAGGATGTTTAAGTGGATATGTGGTCATGAAAAAAAAAAAAAAGATTTATAATTACATGCAAGGAAAAGTTGACTTGGCAATTATTAAGGAGAAAATGGTAGAAAATATTTTAAATTGGTTTGAGCCAGTAAAAAGGGTTGAGCAGGCAGTCTTCAGCCTTAGAAAAAGATGTAAAGGAAGACCAAAAAGGATACTCATAATAGTTATCATACAACACCTACTAGTATATGATATATCTAGAGAGTTAGTTGTTCAAAGAATACAGTGACGTTGTGCATTCATATATCAACCTCACTTAATATGATAAGACGTGTTTTTCCTATTATATAAGAGAGCCTTTTTTTGTCAAGAAAATTAAATTATTTATACCCCTAATACGGTATATGTTAAAAATATATAGAGAATTACAATATAAAGAGTAAAATAAGCAAAAAGTTATCGATAAATTTTTGGGCTGTAAAAAATATGAGGCTTTACACTAAAAAACAACTCAACAGTTTCACTGATTCCCTTAAGGAAACATAGCAGAATCTTGCCTTCACCCCAACCAAGAAGGGGTGTCTTTGCTTAAAATAAGCATGTTAAAGATTTGCAAGTTTGGGTTGGGCTTGTCCTATTTGTGCTTCCCATCATATTTAATATAATTTACAATTACAATTATTACTGATGTTAATAGACTGACAGAATTTATGACTATACATACCGGCAGCCAGATACAGGCAACTAATACAGCAAGTGCAAAGGATGATATTATAAAGCAGGGCAAGAAGTATGGAAACCTGTAGGCCATTTGTGTTTGGACAAGCAAAAATCAGCACATCAACAAGAAAACGAAAATTGGAAGGAAAAAAATGGAACTTAAAACATTATTATTTAAAGAAGTACAAGTATACTTACTTATCAAATAAGGAACCTTTTGGAAATACATGCGGATATTTCTCCACTGGCTGAAATACCAAAATCCCCAAATTATAAGAGGAACAAGAGATAATTGCGGTCAAGGGCTTGCACCCACACAAATGCTACATAAAGTTTAAGATAAGAATACGATTACAGCAAATGAAAAGGCCTGTACACACACCATCGTAGCCCCTTTCCTCTTAAGCTTTAATAATAGGACAATGACTAACTACCAATAGTGATGTGACCAGAACCTTAGAATAATGATAAATTAAACTCTAGATAAATACTAAGTCGATTAGCAATTCAGTGAAGATGGGTTTCTTTTTTTGGGGGGGGGGGGGCATCTTACGCCCCTTTGAAAAGGCCAACCCATTCTCAAGATCTAGTTTTCTGCACAAGGCAAGGAATAAAGTACTTGAGCTAAATAGCCTCCCAATGCTGGACCAACGACTAAAGCTACGCCCCAAGCTGAATTGACCTGAAACCAGATCACACTATCAAATTATCAAAAAGAACATGCACTACCAAGAATCAATAGTAGACCAAGGTAAGCTAGACTTACAGTTGAGAGTCCCAAGGCTTGGTATTCTTCTTGAAAAAGTTCACTCGCATAAGCCTAGTGCCAGAGTTGGCACGTTGGTAGAGGTCAGAATCATATAGAACAGAGAAGTCTTGCACAGGAAAAAACAAAGATGAAAGCCGGTATATCTCATTTAAGCCCCCCAGGAAGTGTTTCGTCTTCAATATTATCATCACATTAAGCCTATAAATAAATAACTAAAAGAAATGGATGATACGGCCAAGTTTCAAGTTAATATGACCTTTAGATGCCCAGTTGCCAAATGGTAAAGTTCTCTGTCATATGCCTACTTTAGATGACAACTACTCATTTAACAATCACATCAGCTTTAAATTAAGCAATGTTGGCCATCTAGTAATCATCTATTAACAGGCTTAATGTGAAAATTGTATAGAAGACAGAATACTATTTGAAGAACTAAAATGAGACATTAAAGCTTTGAAGGACCAGATAAAGAAAAAGCATATTTTTTAAAGACAAAATATCAATTCTTCCAGTTTTAAGTTGTTATCTGGTACATATATAAGTGGTACCTTTATCGGTCCAAGAGATCCATTTAAGATTCCAAGAAGAAATCTTGTGCTAACAGCCATCCAAAAGCTTGTGCTAAGGCCAAATAGTGCGTTTAGCACAACACTGAAAACGAATAATAATCAATACCATATGAATAACCTGATTGATGTAAAACATGAAAGAAGATGAAGAGGGAGATAATGGAAGAGACGGAGGGATGAGGTTAGGAGAGAAACTAACAAGATAAACTGATTTTAACTAATTAATCTAAAAAAAGTAACATAAAATTAGTGGAGGGTTATTGTAGGGAGCCCAAGATGTGGCAAATAAATTTCAATTTACTAGGTCTTTAATTTCCCTTCACTATGCCAAGCGTAAGTTTTCCGTAATTTCATTTCTCTTAGCATTCAATTTCTATTCACCATCATTCATAATAGAGCTAAAACGAATTCCAAATCAGTGGAGGGGGTGCTTACACTGCAACAAGGCCTATAACTATAGCATATTTTCGCCCATATCGGTCAGCAAATATTCCCCATGGAAGTGATGTTAAAGCTCTGCCGAACATGAATGAAGATCCTACAATATATCTCATATGGAGATCAGTATTTTAAGAGCTTATAAATCCCTCTAATAGGCACCAATAGAATGAAATGACTATAAGGAACCTTACCCACGTAACCAGCATAGGAACTGATATCTGCCTCTGTTTTCGCAATACCAAAGTCCTTTACCTGCAAGCAAATTTGTATCAATAGCTCATCTTCTATTCTGCATTAGTTGTATGCTCTTATAAGTTAAGCAATCGATACGAATAATAAGCAGCATTAATATTTCATTTCTTGAGCCTCACTTGAGGAGAAAAGCAAACATGTAGAAGTTGATATTGAAATTGATAGTCTACATAGCTACCCCCACAGGGAAAAAAAACAAAGAAACTGATTAGGTAGAGTATTTATGCACAGAAGATCTCCCTGCATGGGCATCAAAGAATGCATTGTTAGTACTAAATACAAGTGGGAAAAAAAAACTCACCATGAAATAAAGAAACGGGAAGAGACATGATACAGGCAGCGCTGTACAGAGTGAAGGAAGGATATATCAGATAATTTTTTTCAAAAACAATTAATCATTAAAAAAAAAAAAAGCCAAAGAATCTGCAGGCATGGATTGATGACTGAAGTACTCCAAAACAACAATATTCTTTTGACTCTACAGAGAATAATTGGCTAGTTTCAGAAACCATGCAAACAGAATACTCACCGGTGCACACAGTCACCATCCATACGTTGAGAAGATGCTTTACGGGTAAGCCATGGTTCATTTCCTTGGCTTGATCCACCTTACAGCCAGGGCAGTTCTCATGGTACCGATTATTCAACAATGGCTCTCTAGAACCGTTCTTATTATTATCACTATCATCCGCCATGTTTGCTTTCCTCCAGAGATTCTCCTTCCTGAACCGTTCTCTGTTTTTGGTTCAGAAAACACAAAACCAAGAAGAGAAAGTTAATAAAGGTGAGTGCTTTTTGCTTCTTTTTGAAATCCCGGGAGGGGGAAAACACAAAACTTGAGTCAGACACTAAAATACACAGACTTACAGATCTTTTCTGTTTTATGATACAGAAAAGGCAAGCTAAGAAGCTGGAGTTGGTAAGCTTGAGAAAAAATTAAAAAGAAATATGATATGTGAGGAAGAACAGTGAGAAGAGAAGAGGTTGGGCTGAGTGCTTCAGACCCATGAGAAGAAGAAGAAGGAGACGAAGCAGCCACTAGTCATTGTCAACCTTTTGCGGTGTCGTAAGATGGGAGTCGTTGGCCTCTACAGATGCCATCATATGCCAATTCCCAGAGACAGATGTAGCCTTTTAGTTGATGCACGTTGATCTCAAAAACATGAACAAAACAAAACAAACATAACAAAAGCAGGATCATCGTTGTCGGTTAGTCCGATCATGCTGTAAAACGACGTCGTAGTTGTAACCTTCTGCGTAGTTTTTCACAACGTTTTGGTTGGGTCTAATAAAATAAAAAAACTTACTATTAAAGTGAAGAAAGTCACGTCCTTAGTTGTGTATTTTTCTTCTTCCCTCTTCATGTGAAGAACAGTGAGAGGAGAAGTTGCAGACTGGGAGTGTCTCAGTCTCAGGATCAGACTCATAAGAAGAAGCGGCTAGTGGGATTGTGGGAATCACAGGCGGGTGTTCCGATCATCCAAGCAAGAGACCCACACCTGTTAGTGGGGCCACCAAACCCCTTAACGTTTTTCTCTGTCTGCATTTGCATGAGCCAGCAACTTGAGGCGCAACAGTTAATGATTTTGATTTGTTTTATTAAATTATTAACAACTCCTACGATTGAACCAAATTTTGATCAAATTAATGAGGGTTAAGATGCATAAAAAAAAAATACTCGAAAGTAGTTTTTCGATCCGTCTAAGATTTTAAAATATTTTGTAGTATATCTAATATCCTAAAATATTTTTTAAGTACGTCTTGTATCTTGAAGTATATTTTTGTCTTGATGCTGGATGCACCAAAAAAACTTTTTGGGTGCTGAACTAGGACACGCCTAAAAAAAATATTTTAGAATGTTGGATGCATCAAAAAATATTTCAAACTGGATGCATTTAAAAAAATATTTCAAGATAATAGATATACCACAAAATATTTTAGGATATTGAATGTACTTTAACCCAACTAATAAACTTGAAAATAGGTGAGATTACACTGAATTTAATAGATTGTGACTAAAAGTGTACCACTAAAAATATTAAAATAGTTAAAAAATAATATTAGACAGTAAATACTCATCTAGTTCTATTTATAAGTCATTTTCAATATGTTTCACAAATTAAAAAAACTTTTAACTTCATGAACTTTCATTCAAAATTTAACAACTTTTAAATTTTATCCCTATTTAATATATATTATATTTTATATAAATAAAAAAATATGATAATAAATAAATTTGTCATATAAATAGGATCAAATGAGTACATTTTTATCCTACTTTACATTTTTTTTGGGAGCAGCCTTCCAGCAGTCGCCATCTGGTTCCCACAAAGGCGACTGATGTCGCGGTGTCGCCCTTTTGTTGAATAGACGTTTAACTCAAAAACAACAAAAACAGGAGAAAAGTCGGGAGAAAAAAACCAAAAAAAAAAAAGTTAATATAAATTTTATTCTTTAAAATTTGAGTCTATATTTTAGCTTTCATTTCTCAAATTTCAAACACATAATTTTAATCTTTAAAATTTAGTTTGTCTTAAAATGTTATTTTTCAAAAAATACAACAATGTTAAAATTTATTGTAAATAACATTAATGGTGATGCAGACTTATTGATCTTGTGTGGATAATAAATGCGATTTAATATATTTAGAATATATTATTTTCAATTCTAATTATAAGACCTTGTTAATAAAGTCTTATAATTAAAACTAGAGGTAGTATATAGGAAAAATATATGGGAGAATTCAAAGGGAAAAAAAGCTTGAATTTATTAAAATTAGGTTTGATTCTTACATTTTAATAGTTTTGAAAAATACTTGACTTACAAATAACATATTTTTTAGAAATTTCTTATTTAGGATTTTTTTTTTTTTGAGATTCTTCGAAAATATATTTAGATACACAATTAAGGTGACGGGAAAAATATATTGGATGGGGCTCATTCCTCATGTTCAACTCATCAAACCCACCTTTTCTCTTCTCACCTCTTTGATGCCAAAGTTTTTAGGGAAATCACGGCTGTAAAATAAAAGATGCTTTGTTTGTATAGGCAGGTGAAATTTTATTTTGTTTATTGTGAAAATTTATGTTTTGCTTGGTCATCATCCACGTCAAGCCTAATTAATACATTACGAGCATAACCTAATCAAATGAAAAAAACTATAGGAATATGATTAAAAACTATATAAAACTATAAGAATGGATGAATTAGTTTTTCCCATTTAATTTATTGATATTATTGAGCAATCTCCCATCAATCAAGCTAAAGTTAAATTCTCCTGTTTAATTTCATGCATACATTAAGTCTTTTGATCACAGAAGAAAAGTTCATTATTGTCATAAAAAATTCAAATGATTAACATAATCAACAATTCATTCACGCTAACGGACTAACCTTTAATGCTCTATTCACTTACATTCAACACAAAAGATAGAGGCATAAGCCTTTCAATTATAGAGTTTGTTCCTTGAGAATTAATCCATCTTTAAAAAGGCATGGTAAAAAAAAAAATTGAACAAAATCTGATATGATTAACCAAGTGGGTCCTATCCTCTAATCACATTGATTCATCAGTATCAAACCATTCATAAAATGGAAATTCAATCACTTGTTGCTCTCACTCTTCTCACCCTTCTTCTTCCAGGTAATTTTATATGTCATTCTTTGTTATTAGATATACTGATTTAGACCTGACTTGTAGATATTCAACATGATTTGTTTAACGCAAGTGTGTGTTGTCCTAACACTTACGCTATGTTTGGCTCGACGGAGGGAAGGGGAGGGGAGGGATTTTAATCAAGGGAAGGGGAGGGGAGGAAAGGGGAGGGTAGCTATAAAGGGGAGGGGAGGGAGGGGGAAGGGAGGAGAGGGATTTTAATGATCTCCTGTTTGGATTGATTGGAGGGGAGGGGAGGGAGCAATTTTAATAATACCTTATTTTGTTCTAATAAAAAATTGACTATTTTAGCCTCATAAAATTTAAATGAATTTTCTTTTTATTTTGTTAATATATAACTATATATATACAATACAATTCACTAATTTTGATTTGCAAGATACAGTCACACACTTATAGAATATCAAGACAAAAAGTCACAAGTGATAGATTTAAATCAGAGAAAAGACCTTGAAGGTGAAAGAAAATACCAACGGCCTCTTAGAATTAGAAGAGGAGAAAAAAAGTTTACAAATGCTCGCTAATTTTGGAGATAATTATCTTAATAACCTCTTATTAGATACTCAAAAGAACTCTCTTATGTAAAAATGTTTATGACTGATTAGAGGTTAACAAATCGAAAGGGCATATAAGGAATTAAAATATTATCTCTCACCTCCCCTCCAAAAAACCCCACTTTTGGAGGGGAGGCTAGAAGGGAAGAGGAGGGGAAAAGAACCCCTCCCCTCTTTAAAAAACATCTTAACCAAACAAGGGGAGGGGAGGAGCTCCCCTCCCCTTCTAAAAAATTATACCAGCCAAACAAGGGGAGGGGAGCAACTCCCCTCCCCTCCCCTCCGAAAACCCCGTACCAAACATAGTGTTAGAGAACATATCTTCTATGTTTGTACATGTCAGAATATGTGAAAAACCATAAGCAAATAAATCTCAAGTGTGTGTTCAGGGAAGTGTTTTTAGAGGGGCATTCACTTACAGTCTGAGATTACAAATGAGATAGAACCTACGATTTTTTAGTTACAGGAGAGTTTTCATCTCAATAGGTTATAAGACCATTGACAAAAATTAAAATACTTTTATTCATTTTTATTAACACAGGGACCAAAGCAGCAACATTCAACTTCAAAAACAAGTGTCCATTAACAATCTGGCTAAGCACTCTTACCGGAGGAGGCTTCCCACAGTTATCTTCAACAGGCTTTGTTCTTCCCCCAGATGAATCCTTCAACGTCACCGTCTCCCCTCCATGGTCCAGGCGGTTCTGGGTGCGAACCGGCTGCACTTCCACCGGGAAATTCATCTGCCAAACAGGTGACTGCGGCTCAGGTGACATATCCTGCAATGGTGCAGGTTCTATTCCACCAGTTTCTCTAGCAGAATTCACTTTGCCTAACAATGGAGCCCCAGATTTCTATGACATCACCCTTGTTGATGGCTTCAATCTACCAGTTTCTATAATCCCAGAAGAATCATCATCATCATCCTCAACATCATCAGATTCAAGGGGATGCAACACGGCAAGCTGTGCTGCAGATTTGAACAGTGTTTGTCCTCCTGATTTTGCAGTGAGATTCAGAAGGAAGTGTGGTTGCTTGTAAGAGTGCATGTGTGGCTTTGAATGAACCGGAGTTTTGTTGTACTGGTGATTTTGGTGCACCAGACAAGTGCCTGCCAAGTAATTACTCAAAGATATTTAAAGAACACTGTCCTCAAGCTTATAGTTATGCCTATGATGATAAAAACAAGTACTTTTACTTGTTCTTGTGCTGTGAAATTCGCTGTTGAATTTTGCCCATGAATCATAATTGAACTAGTATGTAGAGAAGACCATTTGTTGGTTGGAAAATTTGTTGATCATGGTAAATTCTGATTATGTGTTTTGTGGACTAATTAATTAGATTGATGTGGCTACATGATTTTATGTTGTTGTGATGTTGGGAAGTATCAATTTGAGGAATATTTATGTATGAAAGGCTTTGAATTGTCATTGGTGCTTCAGATTTGATTCTACCATTAAAGTACTTTTCATTTGTCCAAAATTCCACACATCTCCATAATTCATTCAGTTCTACAAATTCTCACATAGAGCTTCGTCCATTGCAAGCCCTTCTTTTCTCATCAATACATAGCACATAAAATGAAATATATGGCAAAGTTAAATAATTCATAAGCTATAAAAAATATACTTTATAATCTTTTTAAGAAAATATAGTATAAGGCTTCGTAAAATTATAGTGCATTTTTAAAAAAAAAAAAAGATTTACATGTCTATTATCGGTCATGAAGTTAATATTGATTTTGAAAAGATAAAATCTTTATACACGTCCTTATAAAATTATATTCTTCTTGTTAATAAATGTTATCAATTGATGGGATCTAAATTAATTTTTAACGGGTTGATTTCTTTTTTCCTCCCCAGTAAAATGTTTAAATCACAAATAAAAAGTAGATATTGTGTAAATTAAAGCAACGCATTCATTTTATGTTGACAACTGCTTTCTTTGAAATTATATCTCTAATGGAAAGAAGGAATACCCTTGAACAAACTACAGAAGACATTAATTAGGCATCATCAGATAAAAAGTAAAATACATAAATCTATTATATTTCTCTGGCCCAATACATATATCTATTCCATTAACATATATTACTCTCCTCAATCAATCGAGTATCAGCTAAGTTACTATTGTAAACCTTACCTTGTAGGGCTTCTTACATCTATCTTTATTCTCAGAACTAGAACTTTTCAAACATGATTTCAAAGGCTTTGGTTGTTCACTTGCTGATGGAGACAGGGGAAGACAATATTTTGAAGATCCTCCTCTCTTGTGATCAAAAGGGTCTAGCCAAAAACGGACATTTGCGCTACCAAAATTGATCTTCTTTCTTTTGGCATGGAAATAAGCAGTCACTGCATCAGCTTCTCGAAGGAATGATACCCGAGCTGAGCCAGCAAAGCTAAAGACCTTTGTTTTAAGATAATCAACATAGCCAAACACTCTAAACTTCTTTATCAACTCTGACTTCGATGGTAGGTTGACATTATTTGGAAACTTCATGTGCAGGGATTTTGAACAAGCATGGGAAGCTTGTGTTTTTGATTTCTCTCCAACTTTTGAATTGATCATTGTACAAGAAGTATCAAATTGATCGGGATTCTCATTCTTTTTCAAGCAGCCACTAGATGACAGTTTCACTCTTCCTGATTTTGTTGATGTACTAATTCGCAGCCTCTTATTGTCAAGAGAGGAGTCAGATCCTTTTAAACGTTTGTTTGACGCTTCCTTAGCTGTAACCCCATTATTACTGGAATTTTGAGCACTAAGCACAAAGTTAGACGATGATTCTACGTTAACCTCTTCAGCAAATTTCACTGCAGTTTCATTAAAGCACATGCTTCTCGGACTATGCTTCTGGATACTTTTGTCTGGTTCAGACAGTTTGGTTTGTGACATGGAGGGTGTGGAACATTCCAAGACATGATCGTTTTCTTCAGTTTCTTTAACTCTTTCTTCCGCAGGAAAATCTATATGAAAGGGTATGTCCTTGAAAAGAGACATGCAACTATATGCATTGTCAGGCAAGTTCATCCGACTGCTTCCACCTATGAATCTCACTCTCAAACACAGATCAGAAAGCTTTATAGGATGCTGTAAAGTGGAAGCGAGATATGAATCCATCTCCATTCTAAAACTAGGGAAACAATCAGCTAAGGCAGATGGTAAAACGAAAACATCTGAATCATCTTTGTTGTTTCCTGATACAATCATCTTCAAAGATGAAAATTCTTCATTTGTTGAGGAAAGGGATGAAGGTTTCTGAAGCTTGAAAGAACAATAATATGGAACATGATGATTGAGTCGCTTCCTTTTCTTGGCCAGGCAAGCAGTTTTGATGGTAGGCAACGTGTGATGAAGCTCAATTGCAGTGTCTTTTCTTCCACTTAAGGCTGCACTCAACTTAGAGCAGTCTCTGAAGCAGGCATCAGCAATCTTCTGCTCTGAAATGTAGTTAATGCTCAACAGCCTCAGCTTTACAGGTCGTAAGCTTTCTCTCATCGTGTAAAATGGATCAAAGTTAGGAGAACGCAAGTGGAGTGATATCTCAGGTAAAACTTCAGCCTTCCTATTTCTAGTGTGAGTCTGCGGAATAATCTTAAGTTGATTCTTATGCAAGGGTTTGACATTTTCTTTCACCACAGAGATTTTTGAGTTCAATATCCTTATAGAACTCATAGTCAAGGTTTTTTCCACCTCTTTGGATGGTATCTGACATTCATGCCGGGGTTCCAAAGCATCTGATTCATGAACAAGTTCTTGCTTTTCGACATCCGACGATGAACATCGAAGTAGCTTCACTTCATTGCCTATCATAATACAAATAATAATTTCATGGCACAGAAAAATCAGTATATGGCATCTTTAGTTTAGTTTAAGTATACCCTTTTTACAGGTCAGTGCGTAATTGGATTGTCCAAAATCACAAGGATCTAACAGTCTCCAAACCTCCATAAATAATTTTAACCAACGCAATAATCAAACACACTAATCAAAACTTAAACAAGATGGAGAGTTAAGCCTAAGAACATCCCCCCGACCATGATATATTTAAAAGAAATTATACTAACATAGAAAATGGCTAGATTTCTTGAACGACTGGCACATCTCATTTCAACAAGTATATCAAATACACTATACATACCTCCTCCTTGAGTTTTTCCGTAAACCCTTTTCTGCTCCATTGAACAATAGCCACGAAAAGCCTGAACCTGGGCTACAGCTCTAACAGCATCAGCAAAATCCAGTTCATCAATCCATGGCATAACAGCAACACTCAAAACAAAACCCAAAACCCCAACTGGCTCAAAACAAGCATTCGATTTTGTTCCTTCATATCTTTCTCTCCCATCATAGTCCCTCAGGGTCTTCATTAGACACCGGCATTTCAGACTCGAAAAAACCCTCTGACCCATCAATTTTAACGCAGAATCAAGCAACCCATAGAAGGTCTTGCATTTTTTAAGCCCCTTTCGATGACCCATTATCCACCTGAAGCATTCCTCGAAGGGGGCGACTTCAGATTCGATGACATACTTGGGAGGGAGCTTGTGGTTGAAGAAGGAGACGCAGACGCCGAGAGAGTCAGTAGTGAGAACCAGAGCGGGCCAAATTTGGTGGGGAAATTGAACCCTAGCCCACACTATATCGCCTCTGGTGACACTGCAGTTTCGCAGCTGCATTCTGCATATGATTCACAGAACAAAGAAGAGTGAAAGTGTTGGTTGAAGTAAAAGGATTGCCCAATCGATCGACGATTCTGATTTCTGAGTGAAGAGTGAAGAGTGAAGTGTTGAATGTGGATTCACTATATTTCCCGCAATATGTCCTGAATCATCATATTCCCCGCCAAAAAGAGGAGGCAACAGTCTCTCTCGTTTTCTCTTTTTTGAAAAGTAAGACGAGGTGGGATCTATTAGTACAAGTTTAATTGTTATTTTAAAAAATATAAAATTATATATACTTTATAAGATAGTTATTTTAAAATAAAATTACTCCATGTGATCATCATTATAGGACTTATTCTAGAAGAAATTTTTGATCTTTTTTTATAATACCCTTTGATTGTTTCAATGAATATTAAACACTTCATATATATATATATGCCCATATTTAATGAGGGTAGTGAAAAAATAAAAATTAATATAATGTTAAAATTTATTATAACTAATAAAGATAATATTAAAAATTACTTGAATTTTATGACAAATTTAATGTTTTAACTGGTTTTATTAATACATGTGAATTAGTTAATGGGTTCTTATAATAAATACTAAAATGAGTATCAACATAAGATTGGTAAAATGAACATGATCAAAATCTTATATATGAAAAAGAAATCACTAATAAATACTCTTACAGCTGCACATAGCTCAATTTGATTTGATTTGATTTAAATTAATTGAAGTCTAGTACTACCTCCCATCTTTTTTATAAGAGCTTGTTTAATTTTTATTTTAATCCTAAATATAAGACTCCAATTTACTTTGTCTCTCACATTTATATATTTTTTTTAAAGATAATTCTTATAATAATAGTAGTTCTAATCAATACACTTGATTAGTAAAGATATTTTAAGAAAGAAAATACATATTTATTACAAATAACTAACTTAACTAATTTTCTTAATATATTCAAATTAGTCAATCAGCTCTTATATTAAGGATCGGGGGTATTATAACTTTTAAAACTGATTGAAATATTTTTAAAAAATGGATGGAAAGTCCTTGTTTAGATATTATATTAATTAGAAGGATTGGAATTCGTTTTTATACACACAAAAATACCAATACTTTGAAAAAAATTTATACTTTTTACCCAATTCAAGCTATTCGCACCAATAAAATTTTCAAGCAAGAACTTTTGGCCAATTTCTTCTATTAAATAATAATTATTAAAATCAAGACAATGAAATAAAATATATACTAGTTCATGAATGCAACAATCAACTAATGGAGTCCACCAACACCTAGATGTTGTGTGTAATGCGAGAGGATCGCCTTCAAGGCATGAAATTAATTTTTCCCATGCATTTTCTTTAATAATTTTTCTCATTATTACTCCTTCTCATTTACCCACCTAAAATTAAGAGCATAATTAGAGGAGAAAAGTACATTTTCTATATATATACTCCTCCGGTCCTTAATATAGGACCCATTTAACTGATTTGATTAGATTAAGGAAGTTAGGTAAGTTAGTTAATTATAAAAATTGTGACATGTTTTTCCTAAAATACCATAATCATCTTTCTTAATACCCCTCTCTATCTTCTACTTGATTATGGTTGATGGAGTATCCATAGGGGTAATTTAGAGAAAACTGATAAATATGAGAAATGGGTCTTATATTTAGGACCAAAACCAACTCAGTAATTGGGTCCTATATTAAGGACCAGAGGAGTATATATATATATATATGTACAAGTCAAAATATCCTCCAATCACTTTAAACTTAAAAAGACTAATCTCTGTCGAACCGAGGGTATTAAAATTTAAATTCTCCTAGCAAGTACACTTCCTAATATTCAAATTTATGTTCTCTTTTTTGTGAGGGTAAGACTGTTGATAATCTCAACCAACAGTTTTTTGGTACATTGTTTTTTCTACATATTTATCCCAAATAGTAATTTTAATAGGTTTTTTAAACAACACAATTCAATTATTTGAATTTTATAATAAGTGACGAAATAAATAATATTTTAAGTAATTATATTCATATTATTACTTTTTTTTTCATGTCACTGTCAGAAAAGTACATGAATGTAAATGATTCAATTTGTCCAATAACAAGCTGAATGCATATCATGTATCTTCTAGGCTTATTGCAAGGGTCGTTTGGTTGGGGATATGAATAGGAAGGGGAAGCCAAACTTCCCAGAAAGCAAGGCTTATCATAACTTTCAGAACCAAAATATAAATTCACAAAAGGCAGGCATAAGTTTATTGCCATAAAGCAAACATATTTACATACATCAGTTACAAACAGTTGACATCATTAAACCAGGAGTACAGTTAAGCCTAACCATACACACTACATGGTGCCATGAATATCACTAGGCATGTCCTTTCTAGGACAACGCGGCCATTTCAAGTCCTCCAAAACAACTTCTTCACGAACTACTACTACTTATAAATATAGAGCCGAGCATTTACTTTCCAGTCAAGCATACCTAGGTTTAACAGTATATACAAAAGCATCCATTCACAAAATTGGAGCTTGATCTGGTTCTCCAAAATAGCTGCAGAATCATCACCTGTTGGTTTATTCAAAATCATAGAGTATGTAAGATGAAAAGGACAATAAACCCCATCAAGGTAAATAAAGAGACGAACTTACGTCCAAACTTTAATATTTATCATCTGGTTGTTCGATAGAAATATGGATCGTGATTTTCAGTCAATACAAAGATGCTAAGCTGTAAATTTTTAGCCAATACAAAGATGCTAAGTTGTAAACAATGTCCACGACTCCACATGGCTGACAGAAATAACTAATAAGAACTTTCCATTGATCTTGTCCATATTAAAAAGAATAAACATATACTTCGATAATAGTGTCCATAAAACAACAGCAAAACATGTGTATTTGTTAAAAGTTTACCAAAAAAGAAAAGTGTGAAAATTTTTTGACTTGAGGTATTGATCTTGCATTGCAAAATAAGTTGAAGTCAAAACCTTTTAGTAGAATGAAATGCCAGAAAAGTGATATTACCAGTTGACATGTCTCTGATATTAATATTCAATAACAGTGAAATCAAATGGCATCTATAAATAAATAAATAAAGCTTATGAACTTAGAGCCTAGAAGAATGGAACTTGGAACAACTTGTACAGTTGCAGGGAGAGCCACAAAGCATGATTTATCATTATTCCTGAACTATGAATGTGACAGACTTCAAAAATAAAACAGAAAATGAAATTGGTCGTTATAAAATGCCTGCATTCATTTTGAAGATCATATATCAGAAGGAAAGAAATTTTCAAAACATGAAAGAAGGAGGGATTCAAACCTTAGTCGCGAATACATTTTCAAACACCATGCCTATGTGTAAGCAACTGTGACACAAACCATCAACCAAAAGAACCTCGGCACTTTGATGATCCACATAAGCATTTTTTCCGACCTCCGGGCATTCCTCTACCCTCAGTATGATCAGAACGGGAAACCCCATAATCGTACGTCAACTCTGTCATTGGTGGAATGTGTCTGAGAGAGAAAAATGCAATATGAAGGAAGGATTGATTATTTTCTTCATAAACAACTGGCTGCCAGAAAACATTTGGGGAACAGCTATGATTCATGAATCTAGCCACATTTCCGAACTCTTTAGCACTTATAACTAGAGGAGATGGAATATCATAATCCTCACTAGGGTCATCTGAATCCACTCCTTCAAATAACTGAGGCGTATGATTCCACTTAAATGGAGGATAAATACGGTTAGTATTAAAAGCATACTCATCTTTAATTGCTAGCTCCTCGTTTTGATTTAAGTTTCCTTTGTCAATAACTTCTCCAGCATATTCACAAATAAAAGAACCAGCACGAATAGGATCCAATGATCGAAGGCCCCATCCTCTGTCCCTAGTTTTGAATACTTCCAAGGAGTGCCTTAAACCCAATTGGGACACTCGATTTTTGCAGTTAGGAAAACAACGACAGGTAGGGCCACATTCATGAATTAATGGCTTACGACTTACTAGAATGCCATTGCCAATATATGGAAAGTCGCCTTCATTTCTCCGAATACAAGAGCAATTCAGATCACCAGGGACACATGTTTTTGTACAGTTGCAGCCATCAGAAGACTGCATTAAGCTGAATGGTTTAGAATATCTAAGGGAATGAAAATAAGTGAAACCACCAGGCAATCTCTCATGATCAACATCATTGACAAGTGATACTGGAATACTCTCAGCTCCTGAAGACAGATCTGAAAGAATAAGTCCAGTCCTTGAAGAACAGTCTGTCTTCCACTTTTGAACTGATTTCCAAACAGAAAAAGCACTAAGCTGTCCGGGCACTCTCACCAACTTGTACTTGAATACACCACTGCCATGTTTCCCCTTTTCTATCCATGAATCTTGAATTTTGTACAGACCATCATAGACATAGATTTTTGCATTTGGAGCAGCAGGATCTTTCATGCCCCGGATGACTCTCACTTCATTGTGCCGTCGTGAACTCCTTTCCAGAGCAAGATTGCCCCCTTGAAGCTTCTGATCAGCCGCCACCGTGTCTCTCTTGCCAAAGTTCCCACTCTGTCCACTATAAATTAAAACATCATCATCATCTGCATGGTCATCATATTCATATGATGAGACAATACTTAAAGCCAAAGGTTCATCCTCAAACCCACCCTTGATGGTCATGGAGTCAATTCCACCCATGGACTGAGCATGTAGCCCCACAACACATAATTCCATTCTGAAATAGAAAATGTCCCCAATCTCAATCCCAGGAACGACACCTACTCTCTTCGTCATGTTTGTTCGAACGCCTTCGGTCATCAATATATTGCCAGCTCTTAAATCTCCACGCTTGGCATCTTCAAGTTGGCTAATTCTTCTTCGAAGCGCATCAAACTCCCTGAGCACAAGATTAACCACTTCCCGGTCACCATCAGTTTGCTGGTCAGGGCTAATACCAACTATAGAACATAAATCCATTTGTGATTCTTGGCTCTTCTTAGTCTTTCTTTGGGATGATTTTGAGCTGCTCCCATGCGGTGCTCCACGTTTTGATGGAATAGAATCTAAAGGGCTTCTGACTGTTCGGATTGGAGTAGGCATCGGAACATCTCCAGAAGGAGGAGCATGCTGGTTAAGATCAGTCCATGCATGAGATTCTTGAGGTCCACCAAAGGGGAAGAAAGGAGCAAACCCAGAAGGATACTGGCCAGAAGAAGGACCTTGAGATGACATCGGGAAAATTGGTAGCAAGCAACGCAGAGGTTTAACATCCAAAATCATGGACTTGTCAGAAGAACTTGATGAAGGAACAGAGTTTTGGCCTAAACCTCCTTCCATTGCAGACTCCTAGCTTCAAAACCCCTATTTTCCCTCAAGAACTTACCCAATATCTTGTTTCCCCTCTTCTATCAAAATGCGTACTTCGAAACTCTTTCCATTTGCAGCAGACACACCCGAACGTATCACGATAGTTTCATCCTTGAAGATTATTTCGAGAGATTAGCGAAATAAAACCCAAGAGGTAAATGAGACTACGAATGGAATTTTACTGAGTAAGTGATAGATAAACGGATACAATTTGTCGAAATTCATAAAATGCTTAACAAATCAGCGAAGCATATGTTGGGGGAAAAAATTGATGAGAAGAAATATTTACCTTACCTTCTGAAGGTGATTGAAGATTGAATATGCTTTCTTTCAAACATATGGACTCAAAATGGAGGAGGCGAACTTGAAACTGAAGGAGAAAGCAGAAGCGGAAAATGGGTTTCTCGTAAGATGAGTCGAGCTTGAAGACAGTGAGTGAGAACAATGCGAGGTACGAAATAGTCAGAGTCGTTTTTAAAAACCAATATAAATAGGGAACCGGCCTCTCTCATTTTCTCCTTCTGGCCCGCTGCCATCCTTTACCGAGAACTACACCGTTTTTGACGTAGAATGGATGAGCCGGAACACCCTCTTTTTTTTCCTTTTTTTCATATAAATAAGCATTCAGTTTTTCAAAATATTTTTCAGTACCATTCGGTATTTTAAAATATTTTTTAGTAGCATTAATACTCTAAAATAATTTTTAATCCACTCAACACTCTAAGATTTTTTTTAATAACTACCACAGTATCTGAAATCTAGTAAACCGAAGTATTTTTTTTAATATTTTAAGATATTGGATGTACTAAAAATTAATTTAAAGAACGAGCTGTTATTGGAAAACCAATTCATTTTGCTGGACTAGAAATTAGTTTAGAATACTGGCTACTATCTTGACATAAATACTTAGATCAAATTTTTTATATCCATTGTACCATGTTTTTAAATCACACATGGTCATGTGTTCTAAATTTTTTTTTTCCATATGAGTTTATAATTAAATGCTATTAAATACTAATATTTCAAAAATAAAACACATGATCATGTGTCATTAGAGAACTTGACATAATATATATAAGGAACTTAAATATTGTTCTTGTTGATATTAGATTTCAACAATTTAGTTCTTATTTATTTGTTTCTTATAATTTAATATTTGAATAATAATTTTGTTAAATATTAAATTTAAATTACTCAATTTGATCCAATGTTTGAGATGCCAAATTTGAAGCATTTCAAAATAACTCCCCAACTTTCGAAATTATCTCAAATTTTGATCCTTTGCCCTGATGTGCTCAACGATTAGGGCTGAATTGATAAAGTTAAAAGACCAAAGTACTATTTTAATCCAATACGATTTATTCATTATTCTTCTTGACATCACCTCATATTGTTTTTCTTTTAAAAGTGTATTCAGGAGTGAGAAGAACAGAAGCTTGACAGTTTTGAAATTCTTAAACAGAAGACAATTACAAACTCAAAACAGATCACTTAAAAATGCCATACATATAGAGAAACCACGGACACAATTTTATCCTATTACATAGGACACTCAACTCTCTTCAAAACTACTGAGGAGCCTTGAACATAACAAAAGAATATGGTTCTGATTCTTAGAGAATAGCTTGAAAAACAAAAGAATCAATACATTTTATGGATATTAATCAATTTTATAAATATGCTGTATGTGTATTTGTGTGTATGTCTGTCCATGAACATAACCTGCACTAGACAAATAGTTCCAAGTTATTGAACATTGACAGCAAATACTGTATGAACATAATGCCTACCATCAAGCCAGGTTAGAGATCCAAAATTGTAGCCTCCATGGGCCTCCTTCTCATAGAATGAGACTTCATAAGACAGCTTTTTTACACTCTCAGAGAAAACAAGTCTACTGGGAAGCACCTTGACAATTAATCCCTTTGGTGCATGCACTTTTGCTGTATATGTGGCATTAAGGGGTCCCACATTGGTAACAGTTCTTCTGATTACTTTAGCTTTCTGGTTCCTACAAAGCTTTTTTATGGAGATTGATGGGTAGTTTATGTTGGATATAAGGTCTTTATTGGAGTTCTTTGGGCAAGTGAAGTTAGTCTTAGACATTGATCTTATCCTTTTCTGTGAATAACCATAATAACAAAGGAATTGGAGGTAGTCTTCCACATTTGTTTCAAAGACTAAACCAGGATAGAGAGCTTTGAGTGGGCTAATTTCCCCTGCTCCCATTTCATGTGGATTGGCAAAGTCATTTGAGCTGTTTGTCACAGACTTCCTCAGGTTGTTGTAGGTTGTTGCTGAAAACAAAAAAGTGGAAAGAACTGCATAAGTATCACTTGATTAAATCAATTATGAGATCATCAACTAAACACCCATGTTTTGGTTAAAGTCAATTATGAGACCCTCAACCAAATACTCATTTTGATTAAAATCAACTATGAGACTGTTGACCATGTCTCTCATAAGCAGTCCCCACATGCTTCGGGTGCATTTGGATTAGCATTGGGTAAAACAGAGCTCATAAAATTGATTTGTAGGCAGAACTGATTTAAAAATAGGGTGTTTGGATAAATTTTTAGGAAAGTATAATTAAAAAGTGGGTAATAGTAGCTTGTGAGATAACCATAGTTTTTGGTTCATAATTGATTTTGGCATGCGAAAGATTGAACATTTTGAAAAAACCAAACTCTATTGGGCTGAGTTAGCTACTTGGTTTATGGTCAAGTCTAATTCCCATTTTCCCTAGAGCATGACCAGTTGTATTTCTTTCTTTTTACACCTTTTTTAATCCAGTACTGAAACGTCTTTTTCTTTCTGTTTTCTTTCTTTGAGAGAGAAATTTTTCAAGATTAAACAATAAGAAGAACAATAGTTGTTGAACCTGTAGTCATGAGGGCTGACTTGATCATTGAAGGACTCCATCTTTTGTGTACTGATTTGATGAATGCTGCAGCACCAGTCACATGTGGGCAAGCCATAGATGTACCAGATTTTATGCCAAACAGGGATGGTTTTTTCCCAGCTGGAACGCTTCCTGGTTCAGTGTTGATGGGTATCATGGCAGCCAGAATGCCAATTCCTGGGGCCATAATGTCTGGCTGAGGAACACATTTGCCACAAGTAGTGTGTTAGATTTTGTGGCCTTGTATACATTTCATGTAGGGCCTTGAGGAAGAAAAGTACCTTGAGTATGTTTTCTGTAAGGATTGAAGGACCTCTAGATGAGAAAGAAGCAACACTTGGTGAGGGTTTATTTCTAGCGACTTCTGCTGTTGGAAGAATTGTTGCGGTTGGGTTCCTGCCATGGATGGAGCCAAGAAAGGCTGAGGATTTTCGCTTGAACTTATTTTCCAATTTTTGGAAGTTTATATAATACATATATATATAGATGTTAAAAAAAGAAAAGAGGAAAACCAAAGCAGAAGAATGTATGGCTGGAAAGATGAAGCCACATAAATCATAAATAGTGGAACTAGTTAGTATTTTAAAATTGGGAATGTTGGATACTAAGTCCCTTATTGAGTAGCATGAAATGCTGAACGAGGTGCTTAAGTGGGTCAGTTCTCCCACCTCAACTTTAGAGTAGAGTTCCCTATCCCATTTAGATACTTGTCAAAATGCTTACCTGGTAGAGTTAGCGTAACTTATAATCTGATTCCCTTCAAAATCACCAACATTTGTGTAGGGAAAAACGCCTGCATCAAAAGGAACATCCTTCTTGTCCTGATCAATCAGTATCATCCCCATGGCCCTTGCATCTTGTACAACCAGCTTCTTGATCTTTCTTGAAACAACTACATCATCAGCAACACAAATCACAATCTTGCCAGCAATTTTACTGTAATCCAATGATCCAGGATAGCAATTCCTGCATTTCATTGATGAATGAACATATTTCCTTATGTTGGTGTTTCTGCATCATAGCTGCCAAGCATTTGCAACTCATAAAAACTAGGATTTAATATTACTACTTCTTTGTTTCTGTATTAGTGCCACTGCCTACTGGTATGTTAGCTACATGTATAAATGGGAATAATAGTATATGCAGAAATAGATTTTCCTTTCAGTTAGATATGAATTATCTTCAGCTCTTGACAAGGTAAATCTTCACCAGCAAAGATGAGATGTTAAGCAAGATTTACAACTTCATCCTATATAGCGTATTAAGATAAAGATAATGCGACAAGGATTTTTCAAATAGTTAAAAAAAGAAAAAGAAAAAAAGCTAAAGCAAAACTTAAAATTATGATTTTGAAATTACTATTGTGTACCTTGCTTCTGATGGAGGGGTAAATCTAGCAGCCACATTCCCTCCAAAAACAAGAGGATACAACTTTGAACGAGTGAGGTTTGAGAAGTTAATACCTGAGCCCTACCAACACAATCACAGGGGGGGAAAAGGTCAGATTTACTATGCATGAAAACTATGCTAAGAAATTTACCACATCTTTTTTCCCCCTCTAAAGCTTTGAATCAGAAATCAAGAAACCTACTTGAAAAGTTTTTCCATCGCCAAGGACAACAGTTGATTGGAAGACCCTATCAATATTAGAAGCTGCCACTGTGAATACCCATGGAGCTGTGTTAACAACTGTGAGAGGATCAGGACCATCATTTCCTGCTGAGCACACCACCATGACACCCATTTCTTCTGCATGAAATGCTCCAATAGCTATGGGGTCATTCAGAAAGTCTGATTGAAACAGTGGGCTAAGTCCAATGGAAATTGAGATTATATCTACTCCATCTTTAACAGCATCATCCATAGCCTTCAATATAGTGGCACCTGAGCAACCTTCTTCTGAGCAGGCCTTGTAGGCAGCAATCCTAGTTGAAGGGGACCCACCTCTTGCTGTTCCTTCTCCTAAACCATAATAACTAGCATTTTTTACCCAAGTTCCAGCTGCTGTTGATGCAGTGTGAGTCCCATGACCAACAGAGTCTCTTGGTGAGCCTTTGGATACTCCACCATGAGTCTTGTTGCTAGCTAAAGTGATTTGCAGATTATAGTATCTTGCTCCTATCAATTTCCTACAATTTTACTGATATAATTGAGCTTTTCCCATACCAGGTTGCATATTCGTTGATATCAATAATTTTCTTTTTGAGGTATATTAAACTAGATGCAAACATCTTGTTGAAAACTTTATGGGAGAGGGAATAATCACCTGTTGCAATTGGATAGCTTGAAATCATGACCCTGCATGCAAACGCCTTTCCATCTAGAAGGGATTTCCCCAATACCCTCATCATTTAAACTTGGAGATTCTGGCCATATCCCTTTAGGAAAGAATAGATATAAACTTGAATGAATAATGTTTAAGCAACTTGTTTATAACATATCACAGGCGATTGTTTTTCTAATTAAGGCCAAGGTCAACATTAACGGGTGAAAGTTATAGCTTTCGGAGTTTCAGACTGAAGAAACTTGCAATGATGACTAAATATGAATGCTGGGTTCTAATTATATACTTTACCTGTGCTATTTTATCTAAATATATGTGTGTTTGTGTATTGTAAACTATGCAATGCGTAGCAGATTTTGCTCTACCTCCCTTTAGAATTTAGACTTCTACTTAGTTGGCCTTCGCTGTTTGCAGAAAATGAGGTTAGGAAGAACAAGGAAATGACATTATTTGGTTATAAAAATTATGCTCAATTAGCCATCACCAGTGACAGATTCTGTATGGGAGACATGTTACTCATGGCAAAAGTATCAAGGAACCCAACCTTGCTCAATTACCCAGATCAAGTTTCATACAAAAAATTGTATTGGGCTTCACTTTAGCTTGTAATTTACTGTTATTAGTAGGCATCCACAAGTTCTGATATATGTTACTAGTAGACAATTTATCAGTTTCCTAATTATCTTTTACCAAAAAGAAGGTGCTGAGAAATTTCATCTCTTTGGTGATTTTATAGTTAGCTCTTGCATGTAACCTCACTGTCTTGTCTGTGTCCCTAAGTAGTGCTCTTACAGATTGAAATTGGGTCATGTAGAATCCTCGTTGCACATGCCTTCCCAGGCCCCAAGAAGTATTCTGTCTGGAAAAATTCTTTTCCAGTTATTTCTCTTTCCCTATTATTGAGTGGGACCTTTTAATTAACAATTTATCTAAAAATTTAGTTGTCGATAGAGTATAACAGAGCCGTGCAATCCAAGTAGCCAAGCCCATCTAGTGGGATAAGGCTTGTTCTTGTTGTCATTTCTTTTTTCTTCTACATTTTCAGGCATGACGAGTTGATTCTCCTTCCTTTTACATACAAGTTATAGGAAGGAAAGGAAGGTTTATGGAAGCACTAATCTAAAGTTCCAATCATATTACTCATCATTTGTGTTTAATTGTTCTCTGTCTAGACTCCTAATACTAATATTTTCATAACTTATTTTCTTATTTTCCTTTGATCTTCTGGTTTCAATTCATTTCATAGCTATGAACGGCCCATATCCTCTCAACATCAATAAAGAAGAATGCGCATCATGGAAGGAAGCACCAATTATTTTCTTATGTTTACAAATAATTATTGACAAACACAGAGGAGAGCAGCAATCAAAACAGCTGGATGAGGGCCACAATGAATGGCCATTAATTGTTTACTAGCAAGGCTATTGGCAATACCATGTGGGTTGATTTCTATTATGCTAGTACTGTCACTGTTGCTACTTGCTAGATGTTGATACCTTAACTGCCAGTTTGCTTCTTATTCCTATCATGCATTACACGAAATCTAAAAGATATTCATGACCTATGTATCATTTAACTTACTATGCATGTAGATTGTCTATAATAAATTTTGATTACTAGTCCTAAACAGATGAGTGAAACCAACTAATTCATATAAACTAAGAAAATTAGTTTAGTTAGTTATTTATTAAAAAAAAAATTCTTGGTTTCCCTAAAACACCTATTTTAATTATTTGTGTTGGAAACTACTCCCTTAATGGAAAATCCCATTAATATGTGCGAGTTTGGGGAGAAAATTAAAATTTTGAGAGACAAAATATATTAAAACCTTACATTTAAGACGAATACAAACTCCTCTATTAGTTCTTATGTTTAACAGTACTGTATTAGTTTTATAAGTGAGTGTCACACAATGACATTCCCTAGCTATCATATGAGATGTCTCTTCAAAAATCCTTAGGCCATTTATGAGAATGGCAAGGACATGTGAAATGCATCCCCACCAAACTCTACAGATTACATGCCTATGACAGCCTTCCATGCTGTCATTTTATCGTATGTAACTATCAAATATTGAAATTTTTGTTATCAAATAATGAGACTGTAGCTTATGTGACACTAGGATGTTTCATTTCAAGAGTTTTCTTCTTTTTTTTAGCTCTTGAAAAATCAATATTATATAGTTATTGCCGAAATTTAGCTCTTTTTGTTTATTCTTCTGGATATAATGTTTAAAAAAAATTCGGGCGGAAAGGGGAAAAAAAAAAGGAAGAGTGTAATGGTAGCCAAACTTACAAGAAAATGAACACAACTTATTAGTTTAGTAATGGAGCAGGGAGAAAAAGTGACACGTACCAGTGTCTATAACACCAATAATGGCATCGCTTGAAAAGTGGTGTTGTAGTTGCTGTGGGACAGTGCCACGTGGCATCATACCCAAATCAGATTCCAAAAAATCCCAGGATCTTGTCGTATGCAACTCAAGAACTGGATCTGGAAACACTGACACTACCCCATGGTGCTCTGTTTTGAAAGTTGCCATTAAAACACAAAATAACAAATAAATATACAAAAAACTATATAGAGCACATACACATATCAAAATGTGTCTAAAATGTGTCAAATATGTCATACGATGCATATAACCGACCCTACCTAATAGAATAAGGCTAATTATTATAATTTTTGTGTACAAAACTTAGGCTTGGTGAACAAAATTATGTGTATGGAGTGATTAAGGGACAGCATAATAACTCGTATTCATGAATGGAAGAAGAAAGACTTTGGTTTAGGCAAAAATGATAAGCATTAGTGAGCTTTTGTCTTTGTGTTGGGAAATAATTAGCGACCTCAGAGAAGAAGAAAACGAGTAATCATGACTTAAATGATTAAAAAAAAATACTTTATTCAATTCTAAATATAAATACTAATTGAAAAATGAGTTTTGATTAAAACCTCAATTCATTTTGTTTTTTATTATTTTTTTCGCAAATTACCTCTGTTCATTATAAGTATGATCAATAAGAATAATTTTCTGAGAGGCATATATATTTTTAAAAGACTAACACATATATATTTTGTTAATAATTAATTTAACTAAATTTATTAATTTCTTTAAATTTTATCTAACTCTTATATTTAAAACCGGTATTTAAGGAATTGGAAATAGACAATAGTGGGAAAAGGAGGAAGCGAGAAGATAATATAAGTACCAGATAATGCAGAAGCTTCACTCTCAGTAAGCATGGCAGAGAATCCACTAAAAGCATGACTGTAATGGTGGATCAGAACTATCCTCTCACTCTCTTTGCTGTGAAAAAGTTTAAAGTTAAAACTGCACAGTGGGTTGATTTAACTAATTTCTATGGCTAAATATAATTATTTTAAGGTTTTGGATCTGTTAAGGTAAAAATAAATATTTTTAGGAAAGTTACCTCTCAGTTTAGAATCTGACCTAACTTCGATATGGATTAATCAAAGTTTAATAAAACTTGGGATGCAGTTTGATTTGTCACAAAATAAACTATTTTACGGTTTTGTTGTGTAAATTATATACAAAATAACCTGTAGTGATTTCTAAAATAAAATTGAGTTGAGGTATCTTGAGGAATTTTATAGAGGAAATCAGTTTGCTTGTATTTTTTCGGAGGATGAGTAATTTTGAAATCTTTCAAATTTTATTTTTTTTATTTTTGACATTGAATTATTGTTGTTTGAAGTTAATAATAAATTTTTTTTGTTTCATATGGGAAAAAAGTAGAATAAAATAAAATATAAATCATTTAGGATGAATTTTTAAAATTTAATAAAAGCTTAAACGTCATGATCATCCCCTTGAATTAATAAAATCTGCACATGTCCTTTAATATCATTCTTACAATTATTTATTAATAAGTATATTAAGTAACACGCTCTCTATTCTCATTTATAAGTTATTTTCCATTTTTTTTAATTGGAATCAAAGAAATCCCTAGAATTTATGAATTGCTATAAAAAGGTGAATGAGAAAAAACCTTGGAATAATGGAAGACAAGAGCTGCAAATGGGCAGATTCTGAAAATTTGGCATCTGACCCAAAGCTGTTTGATGCTGAACTTCCCATGTAAACAACATAAGGCTGCACAAAATACCCAAAGAATTGATTAAGCTTTACTAATCTTAATTATTAGAGGAAGAAATAATTAATGGTAAACACACACCATAAATAATCCCCTTAACAAACTAGACATAATTCCTTTGGTCTTAACAGATAACATGTTCCTATTTATAAGTCTGTCTGAAATTTTTAGTATCATTTTTTATTTTGTCCCTATTAATTAGAGGTTAGTGGTCTGTATTAGTTATTGATCACTCCTTCTCTTCATAAATAAGAATGTTTTTTTTTTTGAAAAATAAGTTGCATTATTTTATATATTTATCATCATTAATTAATTTTAGCTATTTTTTTTTATTTACGTGATTTTGTTATTTATTTTTTATAAAGAAGATCAGAGGACATATTTTGATGCATGTGTGTGTGTGTGTGTGGAGAACACGACCATTTGGCACAGAACAATCCTAACCTAAGAGAAAGAATCATGGATTTGGCTGGCCTGAGTTTAGATTAAGCTCATCTCTCTCTCTCTCTCTAGACAGGTGTTCATTCACTAGATAGGATCCAAAAAGGAATAATGAAAATGAAGAAGGGGAGAGAGAGAGAGATATTCACATACCTTGGGAACTTGATGGGAGAAGGCTATTGAAGAAGAAGAGATCATGAGAAGAAGAAAAGGTACAAAGAGGAAATAATGAAGGAATTGCAGAAGTGGAGAAGCCATGGAAGATCTGATGCACTGAGATCACAGAAGAAAAGAGAGTTTCCTTCTGCTCATAAAGATGAAGACAAGTTCATGATGAGTTCTGATCTATTTATAGGCTCAGTGAGAGTGAGACTGAGAGAGAGTAAGTGAGATTCTTCACTATATATATATTAATACTTTGTTTCGTTCTTTTTGCTCTGCCTGTATTGAATGAACTGCGTGTTCTTCTTTTTTTTAAAAAAAAAAGTGGAAAAATGATTAAAAATTTGACTGATTTATTATTCCGGAATGGTTAATTAGAAAGTTATTTTTCCCCCTAAATTAGAGTTTTATTATTTTATGATTTTTATTTGTTGATTTGTTTTTTAAAAAAATTAAATATCAATTCATTAAACTTCATTAACAAGCCTGGCTTTAAAGATATAGAATGTGAGAAAAAAAAACCATCATTTACAATTATTTAAGGCATAATTTAGTTACTTATTTGTTACGTTTTTGGTATGAAGTATTGGGTAATTTTATTGTGTGGTAAAAAGGGGATCAAGAGCTTAAACCGGGGGCCTTTGCCTTTGCCCTTGCCCCTGCCCACTACTCTTAGCTAATTACATGACCCCACATGTTAATTAATAAATCATGATATTCAATTTCATCAAGTTTTCACAATTTCTGCTTACCCCAGCCTTTCTTTTTCTTTTCTTGTTTTTTTTTTTTTTGGCTGGAGGCCACCGTCATTGTTGCCAGCGGAGGCCGCTATCACCCCCGTCCACCTATGTCATTAGCGCGGACAGGGGTGAAGAAGTAATAATTATAAGGCGGGGATCATACTTGCGGTTCTAAAATCATAGGGGTAAGATGGTCTTAAAAATTTATTATGAAGATGGCCCATTATTGATTATATAATGCTCCCCCCAGACAGGGTATAAAGAAAGACAGATGCACATAATCTTATTTTCAAATGTAGAGAGACCTTTTTCATCAAATCAAGTGATAGCAAGGCAGCCTTAGTGCGAAACTCACATACTCCTTTAGTCTTATTTATAGAATTAAAAAAAGATTTTTTTTTAATTTTATTTATAGGATATTGAGAGAAATTTTTTTTATACATATATAATTTCACTCTTATTTATTATTATGTTGATTTTATTTACAGGAAGTATAACGTATATTAAATAAAGATAAAGTCAGAAAGTTGTTAAATTTTAAATAAGAGTTAATAAAATTTAAGATTTTTCTTTATCTATATAAAACATATTAGACATGACTCATAAATAAGCCAGAGGAGTATGTCTTTAAAAAATTATTAACAAGGTCATAATCGTTATGTGGGTGCAAATTTCATATAATGGGGTGTTTAGGTAACTCCAGAAGCACTTTTCCGTAAATTGAGAGAAACTTCTCCACATGTTTATTTCGTATACCGTAAAAACACTTTTAAAATTATAGTTTTATTTTTACCCAAACAAACCCAAAGTCTGAAAATTCCATACCCCTCTACCAAACGCACAAAAAGGAACATATGGATTTCAATTCCATTTCTATTTTTATCTTCAAATTTTCAACGTACTAAAATGGACCTAAAGAAAAGGAAAAGCAAGAATCCCAGTTCCTTGAAGGAGAAGACTTTCAGTTCATTAAAGAAGCAGAAGAAGACGATGATGATGATGAAGAAATGCTTCAAATGGAAGCAATTTAATCTCTGTTCAACTGCCATGTGAAATTTCTTTATTTTATTTTATTTTTGTCCTTTCTTTCTTTTTGTTCTCTTTCTCTTTGTTTTCCAATGGTCAGTTTCACTTGTTCTCATTAGTTCTTAATCTCAGCATCTTCTTTTCTCTCTCTTTGTAAGATGATATTATTATCTTCTCTTTTGCTTTTAGCTCAGTCGACAACCCTAAACGTGCAGAATGCAATTGATGAGTTGAATTGACAAGTATAGCCTTGAGTTATTAATTAATTACTACTCATTCTCTATGGATTCTCATGCATGAGATGAGACCACGTGGCATTTGATTAATTAATGATTATATTGCCATCATAAACTCCAGCACCTGGATCCCAACTGTTGGCCCAAAAAAAAAAACAAAGAAAAAATAAGCGAATCCTGACTATCCTAATTCTTAACCTTTTGACACAGATTTCACTAGATAATAATACATGTGTTTCTTAATATAAAAGTTTGTTAAATGTTGGATTTTGTTTTAACTATAAAACCATATCTTTTCCCAAAATATCTCTGTTGATTGTAAAGGGTTCCCACTAAAAGATAATTTTAATCATCTAATGCACACAATTAAAAAGGATAGTTTAGAGAAAGTATTATATATTTATGACAAATAAATAAATTAACTAATTTTCTTAACATTCTCAAACTTGTTATTTAGTTTTTATATTCAATACTGGAGGTAGCATATTGTGGATAAAAATTAAAGTCCCGTTTAGTACGAAGTATTAAAAATGATGAATAAGGATTGAGATTGAAGGTGTAAAACTATATTAAAAAGGTGTTTAATATGAGTAATTATATAATACTTGGGATTAGATAAACTCATATATGTGGGATTGAGGAATACCATGAGGAGAGGTGCTATTCTCCAATCCTATCTATATGGGATTGCCTAATTCTATGTGATAAAAAATCACTTATACTAAACATCCTTTTAATATATGTTTTCAATCCTAATATCAATCCTTATCCATCATTTTTAATACTCCATACCAAACATAACCTAAGAGTTTATTAAATAAATTAGTCGGTGTCTCAGTCCTTTTGAAAGGTAAGGATTCAATAAATATATAGTTATCTAATTTTACATAAGATTTTAATTTTATTTTTTAATTTTATAAAGTATCTTTTAAATCTTTTAATCCTAATTTGCATTTCTGGAATTCAAAATATCATTTTTCTAATCTAATTTCTTTAATTGTAACTTTTCTTCCCTATATATAATCAAACTAATGAGCCTTTCATGCCATCCAATCCCAATTTCCACATAAAGAAATACATTGCTTAGTGCAGAAGACACCCACCATGTTCAAAAGCTAAGTAAATGCTATGCTTTATTGATTCTACTTCTTTTCTACTATAAGATTAGTCAACTTCTAATTTGGTTGATTTCTCTCCTCTGACGGAAAAAAAAAAAAAAAGATTTCTCTCCAATATAAGCTTTTCTCACTTTATTTTCGTTGTAATTTCAAATTGTCCAAATTAAATTTTAACAACTTAAATTTATTTATATGAACCTCAATGTAATAATTTTAGACCACCTAAATTTGATTAATCATTGGTAAGTATAGTAGATCTGGTTCGAAATGAAGAAAAGCCAATTTGGTCAGTCTCATGAAGCTCATCACCACCACGACCACCACTTACTTTTCAGACCTTTAACTCAGCTTATCTGTGTGTAAGTTGGCTTCTAACAAACTCCAACACTAAGATATTAGTCAAAAGCAAAAGATGTGCTCAAGAGCACTCTAAACTTGTAAAATAAGATTATTTCAATAACTTTTTCTAAATACTAAAATTACACTCTTTGAATTTTGATTAGTAGATTCATATTCAATTTAAAACGTGTTTGTCATTACCATATTAAAAAAATAGGGTAGGACCTTCGTCTAGAAAGGTTAAAAAGTAAAAAAAGTCTCATATAAATTAATATATATAATTGAGTGCGAGTAGTTTGGGCCTTTGCCCCCTTTTCTAGCCAAAAAAATTATATATATAATTTAATTATCTAACTCTTCTGTTTAAAATTAAAAGTAATATTTGTTAAATGTTGTTACCGTATAGACGGTTGGGCTATAATATTTTTGGATATATTTTCAAATTTGGGCCTGGGCTTCGCCAAGAGAATTGAAGGGACCAAATGTTTCATGTGAAGGTGACCCAATTCAGTTCAAGGCCCAAATATATTACAATACAGTGGCCCAAAGAGAAGGAGAATCTACTTTCCTCATCTTCATGTCTCTGGTTGGAATCGAAGAATTTTTTTGGATTGAAGTTTTCAACATTTTGAAAGTATCTACGAAAAAATATCCAGTACTTATAAGTTTTTTTGGCTCTAATATACTGAAAAATTTTTATTTCGCAGCATTTCTATCCTCAATCGTCATTTACTATTAAATTTGACCGTAACATAATTGAACGATCAAATTTAACCATGAATAACGGCCAAAATATATTCGCTATAGCAAAAACTTTTAAGGGATATAAGAGCTAAAAAGAACTTTCAAATACCGAGCATTTCTTTGTAGGTACTTTCTGAGTATTTAACCACTTTCACTTTTTTTTTTCCCTTTTTAATGTTTATCATGTTTTCATAGTTATGATTTGACAGTCCCAGTTCAGTATTTCTATTTACTTCTTAAATGAAGGGGTGTGAGGATTATTTTGTATATATCAAATGAATTTTTATACGCGGAAATGTGAAGATACTTCAAAAGAAAACAAAAAAAAAGAATTTTAGATGTGTTTAATTCATATCGTAGCCTTTGTAATATAATAATATGAAACTTTGTATTTGGTTTGTACTTAAAACTATAATTGATCCTGATGCAATGCACTTGGATCTACGTATCATTTAGGTATTCCTACAATAAATGAGATTCATATGGTCCATTTTTTGTCTTGTAATAATACATTTTAATATATATATTTTTTAGAACTAAGATATTACTGTTGTTAGAATTAATCTGTCTCGTATAGAAAAATTGAGATTCAAAAGACAGATCTCTTCTCATGAGGTTTATTTAACCACTTACTTAAGTGGCGAGACTCTTTAGGAGTTAAAATTCATACTAGCTTGAGTTGATTTTAATATATATTTTTGAGAGAATTACAATGAGTTCAAAAAAAAATTGCAAAACAAATTCTATAAGTTATCTTTTTTTTTTACTTTTAAATTTGTTATTACAGGCTGCTTAGGTTGTTATTAGAATTTTTTTACTAATTATTTTTCTTCCTTGTGACTTCATTGTAATTCTCTTTGTATTTTCTAATCTTAAAAGAAGCAAGATATAAAATGTTGTTTGTATTATGAATACCAACTTATGAAAATGTAACATAAAAATTACTCATTCGGTTCTTAATATAAGACTCATTTAACTAATTTGATTAAATTAAAAAAGTTAGGTAAGTTAGTTAATAATAAGAAATG